GTTTCGTGGATGAGGGGTACGCCTCACCATTATTCTCAACACTACAAGTTTCGTGGATGAGGGGTATACCTCACCATTATTCTCAACACTACAAGTTTCGTGGATGAGGGGTATGCCTCACCATTATTCTCAACACTACAAGTTTCGTGGATGAGGGGTATGCCTCACCATTATTCTCAACACTACAAGTTTCGTGGATGAGGGGTATGCCTCACCACTATTCTCAACACTACAAGTTTCTAGTCTAGTCTTCAAATTCTATATATTCTATATCGCATTATGCTTGTTATTTGAATTTTACAGCACTAACTAACTATAATATAATTTCAAACAATTTTATAAACACATATAGCATGTCACATTGAGAAAACAGAAACTAGGTAACTGTAAAGTGAAAACAGTAGGATTTATCTTAGATGGAAAAGTATCTGAATAATAGTACCTACATAACACTTGAGTAATACATTCAATCAAAGATAACATATACTTGTGATCCTCAATTTTGACTCAAATTAGGTTCTACAATTTGAAATTAGTAGCATATATGAGTTCTCAAGCTCAGAACGTTCCACACTTAAACCTACTATTCATCATTTAGAACCATTTGAAGATAGTTATTCCTAATAAAATAATATAAAACAAACTTATAGGGTAACTCTATACAACAAAATAATTGCTTATGGAGAAAACTCAAATGATTCGGGATAATTTGATGATGCTTATTTCAAAAATGTAGTCAGAATTTGTCCATCGCCTCTAGACTGTAATATCTAGTTATAGCAATATCTCAACATTTTGTCAACATTATGTGAAATACCATACAATCAACTCAGTACAATAGATTTATGCTGCGAAATTAGGTTTATTTGGATACTTTGATGATTGTATTGGTATAAAATTCCAAATATATTGTTCATATATACTACTTGTTCTCGACATAATTGTAGCGAACACCACTTCTGCTTCATTCCCACTCTTCCCTGCTTCACCCAGGAATCACGAAACCCTCCCGTGCTCAGTTTGCTAGAACATTTGAGAAGGTCCTCGAATGAGTATAATAGGGCCTCTCACTCACTCAGTTGGTCACTTCACCTCGCTCTTTGCACAGTCAAAGCAAAGTCTGATCTCTTCCTCGTATCATACCTGCGATATAACCAAATTCTGCAAAATTATGCTTTAAACATTTTTTTGAACTCGAATGTTGTAAACATATATTTTTATATATTTTAAAGAAAATCATTTGAAATGCTGACTGCCTTTAGTTCAAGAAAAGTTCGAAGGTGCAAAAATCACCCAACCAGTTTTTGCTACATTTGTGAAAAATATATTACAGTTTCACAAAGGAAAAACATCACACACACACAAGGTAAATGTAGCTTACTACCACTATCTTGGGTGCAAAAGTGGTGACCAAGAAAAACACTGGGTTCCACATCAGTTTTGTACAGTTTGCACATTTGACTTCACACAGTGGCTGAATAATAATAAAGCAAGTATGCCATTTGCAGTTCCCATGATATGACATGAGCCCAAAGATCATCTAACTGACAGTTATTTTTGCATGACTAATGTTATTGGATATTTAGACAAAACTAAATAATTCATTAAATATCCAGATATTACATCTGCAATGACACCAGTACCTCATGGGGATGGTCTTCCAGAGCTACATCCACCAGTGAATTGGAGAACAGAAGAGTTATTCTGAAAAGACGACAATGAATCATCTCCATCCTCATCATCTAGCAATTCTATTCCTGTGGCACCCGACATAAACTGGCTCATTTGATCACACAAGAAGAGCTAATTGATCTGATTCGTGACTTGTCTCTATCAAAGCAATGAAAGTTATTAGCTCCAGAAACAAGAGTTTCAGTTTACCGAAGTCATCATCAAAGTCTTGCTTCTTACTACAGCATGCAAAAGACTTTGTATTTCTGTACAAATGTTGTTACATTAATGGAAGAATTGGGTACCGAACATCATCCTCAAGAATGGAGACTTTATTGACTGGTATGAAAGCTAGTATGAAAGTTGTAATTTTATACATTGGGAACACTAACTCATCGATTCCAGTTGCTTATGCTGTGAACAAAAAATAAACTTATCAAAGCATGTAGATTATACTTGAGGCCATCAAATATAGTTACCATTGGTGGAACACATGTGGTGATCTAAAAGTTAATGCACTCCTGTTAGGCCTCTGGAACAACGAAGATGATAATAATTATAAACAAAAAAGAAGGATTGGCAGTGAGAGAGAACTACATAACAGGGAATCATATGTTTCTGTCCCCACTTCATATTAAACCGGGACTCATGAATAATTTTGTAAAAGGAATGAATAAAGATGGTAATGGTTTTAGATATCTGTCTGACAAGGGTCCAAAAATCACTGAACCGAAAATAAAAGAAGGTATTTTTGTTGGGCTACGGATTCAATAAGTGCTGATAGATGATGATTTTGAAACAGTACTCAATCAGAAGGAACTTGGTGCCTGGAAATAATTTTTTACTGGTTATCAAAATTTCTTAAGAAATCACAAAGATAAAACTAAGTTGTGATGATTGATGCTATGCTCGAGAACTACAGGAAAATGGGATCTAGGGTGTCACTAAAGATGCATTTATTACTCTCCAATTTAGACTTCTTTCCAAATGATCTAGGTGCAGTGAGCGATGAGCAAGGTGAGCGCTTCCACCAAGATATTTTTGCAATGGAACAGCGATATCAAGGATGATGGAATCCTGTGATGACAGAAGATTACTTTGGTTCTTATAGCGTTAAACTGAAAACAATACGCAAAAGGCGCTCCAAATCAAACAGGCATTTTGTAATTTAAAAAATGCTAAATAATATCATGATGAAAGTTTGAACATAGCCTGAATCTATTTTCACTATATAATTTCATTATACTCGTTGCTTTTCTAAACTGGTATTTCTATTGTATATTATTTATGAACATTCTTAAACATACTTTCAATGAATAAATAAAGTTATTGAAAAAAAGTTATTTTCTCGATATATAAGAATATTTTGAATAGATCTATTAGAACTTGAAAACTAGAAATGATCAGTAATTTTCAAAATGATGTTTAGAATCAGCAGCAAGTACTTTTTTTTGTTCGGTGTAAAAAATAAAATTGATCTTTTCTACATTGTATCAAGGTAACTTTAGGCGACTCCCACATGTATATACACTGTTGCATTAAATTATTTACGTAACAGAGCGATTACCTTAACAGCTCAGTGGTCAAAGAGAAGGTGGGGGTGTTTTACTGTATTATTGGAATTGAATAGGTGAATTTAATTTTTATTTATCATTATTTATTGATCTAGTCATCTTGGGTTTTAACTTGCTGTTAACATAAATGTGTGGCCATTAAGAGGATTAAATTTTACAAATAGTCTATCCCCGCTGCTATGTATCTCAGTCTCACTTTTTCTTAGATTGACTTTCCTTTCCTGTGTGTACGACACTATTTGTTTTTAACTTAGTTCTTTGAAATTATTAAATTGTTGGCGGCAAAGAAACGTTGTTATGTTACTCACTATTTCTTTTAGATATTACATGAAACATAACTTGTATATTTTTCATATTTTATTGCATATACATACTACGAAATTGGCTTGACCAAAGCATTGTTTATTTTCATTTCTTCACGTATTAATGTTCAGTCTACTTATTTCTTATTTTGAGAAATTATATAATTGCTGGATTTTTGGAATAAAACCTTTATTAAATAGCATCTTGACAGATGTTTATGTTGTCTTTCACTCAACCCGCTTACAGAATATTTGAAGACTATGTAACATTAATGTTACAAACTTATTCAGTATTTAAGGTTTTGTATCTATCGTTGGAAAAATTATTCATTTCGATGAGAAATAAACGTACATTTTATTCTACCATTCAGTTCGACATTTGTCACACAGTTAAACCGACTTTGGAGAATTTTACCTCTAATAAATAACAGAAGGCAAAACTAAAATTATAGGCGAAAACAAGTATGGGGTTGAATTGTTCCTTACTCACAATGCACAGCAAGCTCACATTTATACAGATATATGAAGAATATGTTACAACAACTTTGTTTTCTTCAGAGTTGTGCAGCAGATAAACTGTTTAAACTAATGTGTAATGTTCTCATTCTATCATTGTTGAAGTAATATATAAAAATGATTTAGTATAGACTACAATAAAATTAAAGTTGTGTGTGTCCTTCAAATGCATATTCCGTTGGGTAATCAGCTTGAATATCCTTATGTATGTTTCCTTATGTTTTGCATCTAATTGAGTATTTTACATTTTTCAGTATCTTGGTCTTTAGACATATAATTTGATGCTCATAATATATAAACATAGAGAATTACAAATTTACTCTCAAATTCGCAACCATTATAATGAAAAATTTTTTGTCAGTTTAGCCTAGTTTTTAAAACAATGTGGTCATTTTAAAAATTAAAGACGGTCTAAAATTTCAATTCTAACAGGGTGAATGCGAATACATTGCAAGTATGAATTAGATCCTTTTGAGGTGCCACAATCAATTTGTCATTATTATCTACACTAGATCTATGTCGCTCCCTAAACAGAAACAGATTGAAAAATTCTAGTGTGAAACATTTAGGATAGGTAGAAATGGAATACTTGCTAAACTAACTGGACTAAGCTAAGTTTTCTTAATCTCTACCCCCTCCGTTTCTAATAGATAGCTAGAGAGTTAAACGGTGGAAACTGGATATTTTATTAGCTTAAATAGGTAGGTAGAAGTTAAATATTTACTATACTTGGGAAGTACACAGTGCATTTCAATTCTTTCATAAATGGTGATGTGGCTTAAAACTTTATATTTGATTAGATATTTCTTGGCTTGTAATTTTGTGGTAACTGTGATATCTCTATTTCTATCTCTTGTAATTATCTTGAAAATAACTAAGCATTTTCTTCACAAACTGATTAACTGTTTAACTATTAATTAGCGTCTTTTCTTTTCAGTGGCTTATTCTCTTCGTCTCCTAAGGGTAGAAGTCCCTACTGCTGTTAGACGTGGAGATTCAGTCTGGCTTAACTGCACCTATAACTTGGAACTGGACGAATTATACTCAGTGAAGTGGTACAAAAACAACGTTGAATTCTACCGTTATCTACCAAGTGATGACCCTCCAGCACAGAAATATGACTTACTGGGAGTCTATGTAGATGTGAGTAAAACTTAATATATTTATGATCTATAATTTTCTTATAATTAATGAACAAAATTATAGTAAAAGTGTAAAACATTTAAGTTTGATATATTCATGTTTCTGTGTAATAATGTAATGGCAGAAAGAAGAGTTGACGCTTATTAACAAATTAATGATATAAATAAATTATCAAAAACAATAACAAATAGTTCCCTGTTCACTAAAGCAATTTTTAAATGCTTTCAGATCTAACATCTTATCTTAACTATTTTATTCTATGATCCATTCTATGCTAGTTGAGTAAGTCCCACTTGGGTAATGTATACCTGACGAGCTCTGATCTGAACACAGAAGGGACTTACCGTTGCGAGGTTTCAGCTGAAGCACCTTCTTTTCAAACAGAACGAGCAGAAAGAGAGCTGCAGGTTTACGGCAAGTTTTTCTTTTTTGTTAAGCGTGTGTTTGAATTTTTTTTCTGAAGTATCACGAATACTTTATTACTTATATAGTATATATTTATATATATGGGCTTTGCAATGTATTTTTCAGTCTTGTAAATTCATGACTTAATCAGGTACTACTTCAGTATTTATGGGGTTTATGGTGTTTGATTAAACAATTACGAATACAAAATTGAATGGAAAACAACTCCCATGATCACTGTGCTTTAATTTCATTCCTGTATGTTGTGCCAAAAACGAATCTGTAGAGTAACAAATAATGATAGATTTTGTTTGAGTTTCTTTTATAAATAGTACCATTTTTAATGAGAAATCAACTTTCTCTGATAACCATTTAATTTATTGAATTATTAGTAAGATTGCACGTGGATGCTGTACGAGAAGCCCTTTGTTCAACAGATTAAAGTTACAGAAAGTAAAGAAGATGAAATGTTCTTGCTCCCTAGCAAGTCTACCAAGATATCCTTTAAATATTTAAGTAAAATTAAATTTGCATGGTCGTTTTTCTTTGATCTTACCTAGTATTCCTCACAGATATCTAAGCATGTAGAAACGTGAACCACATCCATTTTATTAGCCTTCACAGAATTTATTTCAAATCATAATTAATATTTTCATAATCCAAGTTATTAAGTTTTAGGAAGCATATATTGCCAATATACATATATATTTGGTATCATTTAGTTACTTAGACTTTCCCTAATAAGTTGGACGTTGTAAAAATTGGTTTGATGCTTATTTTCAACTTATTTCTTAATTATATTGGATAGATGCCGCCAAAATAAGAAAGATGATCACTAGATCAATAATTAAAATACGACTTTCTCTTTCTCCACTTCCGGTAATATGAACAGAAGAAAAGTAATAAGTGGTATTCCTACTGTATACTTACCGGTAACAGTAAATTTAATATAAAGGTGATTATAGCCAAAACGGTGACTCTCGCAGTGCAATGAGCAACATTTAATAAACAGAGGTTTTGTTAGTTGTTCCATCTATATGATGTAAAAGGCATTGCAATAACCGTCTCATATAGATGCAGTACACGTATATGTTTAGCAAAGCCTTTTATAGATATAGCACACGTATGACGTGTTTTTAGTTTAGAACTTTAATCGTAAGTAGATTTTCAAATTCCGCATGAAAAAATGAAACAACTTCTAAATGAAAATAAAAAAGCAAAATTATTCGAACTGTGCTTTAAGTATGCTTAATATGAGTTAAGTCCTTTCTAAGTCTGAGTTGTATAATGAATCCTATGGTACTAGAAATACAATTAAGAATGTGCAAAAGGTTTCGTCAATGGATTTGTTTATAGAATATTCAAATGCAGTGCAATGAATCAAGAACCACGGTAGTGGTTCATAATAGAGATCATCCACGTGTTCCTTTTTATTATTATTTAATATTGTTCCGCCAGCCTACAGAAAAAAGATGGTTGTGCTTAGTATAATAAAATCTGGGCAGTATTACTAAACGCATCATTGAGCATTGTGTAGTGTAGTTTGTAAGTTTATTTGAATACCTAGCAAATAATAGCGATTGTGTAACTGTTGACACCCAATTGTTTTAATGTAGTCTGTGATTTATAGGAAGCCTCATAATATACTACATACATAGCTCAGTTTCGAGCATTGGATCGGCAATCACGGTGACGACTGAGGGTAAGTGTCGAATTATAGCCAGCACTGTGTGATTACGAATTTTTATAAATACTGCAGATAGAGTAGCCATCATTGAAGCTGACTATAAAGAATGGCAAGAATATTGCAAACAGGAGATGGCATAAATGAGGGCGATTCTAGCTGAAAATGAGGCAGAAATTTGTAGCTAAATATTTTATTCCGAAAATATTTAGTTTCAGGTAAAGTATGCAGCAGCGACGGCCCACCAGAGTCTAGGATCGTCACAGTGGAAAGGGGGGTCGTAGAAGTGTTTATCAGAAATGGAGGGGGAAGAGCATGTTAATATGATTAATTCATAATTGTTGATTAACATTTTTTAGAACTTTTAGATGTGTAGAATGAAATTCTAAGAGAAATTCTGGCCAGCTCGAGCAAAACCGTGACCGACCTTACTATGGCCAGCGGAGAGGACTAGGAAGAAGAGGCAAGGGGAAATATAAAAACTCTAAGAAATATTAAGAACGCTTATTTGTATACATATAATATCATATTATGATACATTGTCTTATCTTTGCATTGAATATATATGCATGCATGTATACAGCTTGAAAACTTCATACGGCTATCTATATATACGGTTTACAATTTAGAAAAACTATAAAGCCTGCATGTAGACATATAGATATAAATGCTAGCCAACATGCGTTGCATGTGCATGCATGTATAAAACTCATGCGCTTATAAAATCCAGTCTATGCACCATTCCAGTATAGTTCAGTAGTACAATCCAGTGTTTACAGACTCCCCATATAGTTACAGGGTATACATATAATAGCTATATATATATTTCACAACCATATACCTAACCCATGGTATATTGATTACACATACAGCACCATTATCAATGATAACATTGTGGCAATGATATAAGGAACAACAGGCATCCAATCTGCATGAAGCCAATCCAAAGGTTGTCATTGTTTCCCGAGAGAGGATCACACACAAACTAAACTGTTTCAAATAGAACAGCATTGTTATTATGTTTACTTTTTTCGATTGTATTTTTTACTAAGCTACCTATCTTGTTTCTGTAAGTTTGAGGGATTATAACGTCAAAATTCGGGTTGCGATCCCTATAACGTGAATAAGGCAATTAACCCTCTGTTTAGTTTTGTGTTTGACAATAAAACATTATGTCCTCTTATCCTTATTTTCCTATTATGATGTATGAGTAGATACAAGTCTTAAAGATATTAGAATATCTGTCTGTGGACTTCATTAAATAAAATATAAAATTACATTTTAAATAAGATTAGTGTTATCATTTCTCAAACTCTAAAGGATACAAATATATATATATAGGCATAAAAACTACATTAACTGCAAGTTGTGGACTAATCTCGGATAATTATTCGCTTAAAATCTAACAGCCTGGTAATCATTGAAGAATATCTTACTTCACCTATCGTCTCTCACATTAGCTGTGTCGAAAAAAATAGGAAAACAATTGGCAGATGCAGATAAATGATTTACCCGATCATTTCCAACAACGAAATGATTGTGAATCTGAAATACATGAATTTATTTTTTGATACGAAAACACTGCTCTAAAAATATTAAGTGCCACCAAATACGACATCTACTCATTCTACAGAAAGTAACAGTGTGAATGAGAACGTTTCACTTACATTTTAAAGTTATATGTCGTAATATATATATATATTTATATTATAACATTTGAAAATTACATTATACATACTACAAGTCTAATTTCCTTAAAATATACTTCAGTCACCAAACCAATTCAAACTTACTTTACCAAAGTCATCATATGTTTTATAAAATAACGAAACTTACATTAGAAGTTAAAAAAATTATTTAAACTTTCATGATGTGATTTTTAAAGAGATATTCTAAAATCAAAACATTTTCCACAGATAAATAAAGAATATGTTTAAGAGAAGTTGAAAATGAGAAATTAAACACATAATGAGCAAATAATTATAACTCTCGGCTCCTAAATGTTTTATATCAATCTCTATGAAATCATAAATTAACATACAACCTATGACAGTGAGAACACTTAGTCACTGGAACTTATTAGATAAAGTGTAATCAATCATTGTCGTTTCATTCAAAGGTGTCGTTGACGATACTCAATTCTTGAAAAAATTTCGTTAACTTCTCTGACTTTTATATTTTTAAATACCTGATATCTATTTAATGGCACATATATAAATAACTATAAGTTAGAATATTCGCATCATTTTATAACATTTATTTGAAACCTAGTACATTTGTGAAAATAAGGTGTAATAAGTTGTACTAAGAAAAGAGCATATATTAATGAAATTCAAAATGCTTTAATTAAAACGTTGAATTTACTGTATTATTGATAACACAAGCCTGCGAATTTAAACTTCTTAAAGTTGTTTTGGTTTTAATGACGGATTTGCCATAATTCAGGACAGAGATTTCGAAAATAATATTCATTTTGTTTCTCTCACGTAAGGAATTTATAAAAATCAGAAAGAAAAAAAACTCTTACTTAGATCAAATTATTACTTCGTTTACCACATTTTGTATTATTATGTTTGTTAACAAAAATAAAAACAAACTGCAGAAAAGGGACGAACACTGATGTAAAAAAATATACATCCTCATTCATCCTGATATTTTTTTGTGAAATCTACGTCTTTTAGTCTCAAAACTACGTGTGGTTGTATTTCTTTTATGTATTGCGTTATGACGTTTTGTAAAAAATCCGTAAGTGTTGGAGAAAAATGGATATCATTTTCGTATCCATCGTATAGGATTTACTGTAGAACATGTAAAAATTTCAAGACAATAAAACCATCGCAGGGCTATGTAATCCTAACGTAGTTAACTTATGATGTTATATCCTTATTTGTTCATTTTCGAAAATTTTCTTTATTTTTTCTTTTATTAGATTCCAGAAACTTTTTTTTTGTGCACGAATCTTTTTAAACATTGGGTGATATTTTTAATGTATGTGCCTCTTTTATGTAAAATTTATAATTTTCATGTGATCCTGGCGATTTTATTTTTAGAGCAGATTGAAGATTTTTATTAAATTATAAATAACGTATTATTATCATTGTAGTTTTTGTTGGGCTTGATTATTTTTGTTTTGCTTGTCTTACCGAACGTTCCACTTGAATCAATACGGAGAACTTGTTTCAAAAGTATTACATATTTAAATCAAACAAAAAATGTATTCATGCGATTCGAAACTTTTCTTGGATAATTTATCACTTCACTACACATAAGTAATTATAATCTGCGATATTCCAAAGAACTTTCTGAGCTAATAGTAGATTGTAAA